ACTTGGTGAGCTAGAGCAGGGTATGACTGGAAATTGCACTCTCAACCCTGAATTTCATAGCAGGGAAGGGCCCCCAGTGGAGTCCACTGAGACCTTCTCATCTTCCTCTCCCAAGTCCCATCCTCCTGGGCCTGCAGACAGCGCTCTGGGCCCTGGGGCTGCCTGGGGCCCTAACACCTAGGCTCTAGAGAGAGCCGTGTGTCTTCTGCATGACCTTGAGCTCACTGGTTATCCAGAGCCTCAGTTTCTCACCCATATGATAGGACGGGGGCAGAGCTCACTCAAGGTGAAACAGGACAGTGCATGTCCGCTGCTTCGACACTGCAGTGGAGGAAGCGCCCAGGAAGCGCCTGCTGCTGTTCTGATGATTTCCACTCCTGGAAATCGACTGCTTTTAAGGGCAGTCCTAGCCTGCAGAGGTGCGATGGGGGGCTCCACTGTGGGAGAAGCGGGGCTTCCTAGAGGAGGGGCTCCTGGATGGTCTTCGAAGGACAGGAAAGCATTGCTGCAGAGGCTGTCCTGAGCTGAGGCTCTGAAGTCTGGAGGGCAGAGGATATTCGAGACATCCTGGGATGTGGGAGTAAGTGGGCCCTGGGGCCAGCAGCCCTGCCTTCTTTTCTTTCTGGGGCCCCTCTGACCAGGGGCTGATCTTTGTTAAGATTCTTTTGCTCATTTGCTTTCTTAAATCAGGGACTTTCAAAAAGAAGGGGCCTCAGTGAGCAGACTGTGCAGAAGGGAAACTGGGCCCAGTTGACGGAGTGGGTTAGGACTGGAGCTCCCCACTCAGCTCTTGCTCTGGGTATCTGAATGAAAGAGGCCTTTGCTGTGGCCCATCTTCTTTCCTCGGGCGCAGGAACTTCTGTCCTGCTCCCAGTGTGAGGGCCCAGCCCTGTGGCTCTGAGACTCTCTGGCGCCCTGGCCACGTGGGGCCGCCTTGGCTCCTCTCTGCCCCTCCCTGGCAGTGGCTCCAGCATTCACAGCAACAAGGAAGCAATTTCCCAAGTGCTGTTGAATTCCCCTCCTCCAGGAAGTCTGCCCTACAGAAGGCAAGGAAGCATATGGTGGGAGCGTGGGTTCTGGGGCTGGATTACCTGACCTGCAGCCTGGGTCCTGAGACAGCCACTCAATATGGGTCTCCTGGAGAAGCCTCAGTGGCCCCGTCTGAACAATGGGAACAAAAGGGAAAGTGTCAGGAAAAGAGCCCAGGGCTTGGAGTCAGGAGATCCACGTGTGAATCCCACTTAGCTGTCCCGGCTCTGTGTTCCACACATGACTTCACTGTCCTGGCCTCCGCACCTGTCTCCAGCATGGGGATGATGGTTCTGCCTCCCTTGGGCATGAGCAGAGATGATGGTCATGATGGTGGTGACCCACATGGCCGGAAAGTGTCCACACCTTAAGCAGCACCTCACCTCACAAAGACAGTGTGATGGGGACACCGCAGCTCGGGGTGGGGGGAGGGAGTAAGACTTGAGCGAGGCTACCAGACTGCAAGTGGCAGGACCCATCCTCGAACCCAGGCTGGCTGTGAACCCCGCCCTCTTCCGCCAGGCCTCAGGAGTCACTGTAAACACTGTACATGGTATGACTCAGAAACAGGACTTGGCTCCCTTCAGGCTTGTGGCTAAAACACCCAGATCCCTTGCACCCAGGCTGTTGTCGGGTCAGCCTGTGGTCCCCATGTCTCTCCGGCAGGCTTCATGCCTGTTAAGATTCTTCTGCTCACTTGTCCCCCAGCTTGTCCACATCTCCCTGCCACTTCCAGCGGCCTCAGCAGCAAGGAGCACATTTCCTCCAATGCCTATTAGGGCTGAGAACTGAGTCTGGAATCAGAAGCTCTGGCCATAGAGGGCCAGAGTACCAGTCAGGTACCAGTCAGGTGCCTTCCACAAAGCACATCCTCTCCATCCGCCCCAGACCCCACCCATCCCACTTGCCTCGTTCACATGACTTGCCCCATCCCCATGGGCATCTGAGTTTGCAGCCCCAGCACCAGCTAAACTCACCCCCAGCCCATGTTTTCTCCTTTGTTGCCAAGGGTCCCAGGAGGCAGCAGTGTGGGGCCTGGCCAGAAACCAAATGGTCTTATTCCTGCCACCAAGTGTCCCATGGTCTGGAACCTCGTAGGAGGAGAAAGTGGGGCTCTCTGGTTCTCGGTGACAGGCTGCACCTGCAGCTCCCAGGCCACCTGCTTTCTTTCTGAGGCTCCCAGATGCCCATTTGAGCTTGCAACAGGGGTGCTTAGGGAGCTTGGGGGCCTACAAGTACCAGAATCCATTGTGTTCCCGTTCTGAAAATCAGAAATCAGGCCCATGTGAGGCCTCAGGCTCTGGCCCCTCATGCCCTACAGTAGTCGACAGTCTTTTCCCACTTTCTAGTCCCCGGGAATCACTTGTCCAGGCTCCAGGAAGCGCAGGGGGTTCTGTTCTACCTCCCACCTACATCTTGCCTCTTCTCCCTCTGCCAATCTAGAAAATGCACGTCACTCTAGACCCAAGGACTTAGGCAAACCTTCTCTCCCCCTTAGCCCCTTCCTCACCTTTTTTCTTTCTTTTTTTTTGAGATGGTATCTCACTTTGTCACCCAGGCTGGAGTGCAGTGGCACAATCTCGGCTCACTGCAACCTCTGCCTCCTGAGTTCAAGCATTCTCCTGCCTCAGCCTCTTGAGTAGCTGGGATTACAGGGGCCCACCACCATGCCCAGCTGATTTTTGTACTTTTAGTAGAGATGAGGTTTCACCATATTGGCCAGGCTGGCTTTGAACTCCTGACCTCATTCAGGTGATCTGCCCTCCTCAGCCTCCCAAAGTGTTGGGATTACAGGCATGAGCCACCACATCCGGCCCCCACCTTTTCTAAAGGGTCCCAGGTCCAGGAAATCCCACCCCCTCCTCAGCAGACCTCCAGCAACCTTCCTCGCCTCTCTGAAGTTGCAGTTCTCTTACTTGTAAAAGAGGGCCTGGCCACGCTGCCTGCCTGGCAGCCTCCCTCCAAGTCAGGTGAGGCAGAATGGCCCATGGTTAGGCTGATCAGTGGAACCGTGGTGCACAGTCCTCCAAGGGAGTGACCCTTTCCTCAGGTGTGCCCTGGAGAAGCCCCAGCCACTAGGGGGTGTGAACAGGGACGTTCCTGGGAGTGCTGCCGGTTAGGGAACTAAAGAGGAAGCTTGGAAAGGACTGGTGCGGTGGAGGGGCCTGTGGGGTGAACTGTGCCTCCATTGGCCAGCAGGAAGGAGGGAGAGCAGTGTCATACTTGTCATGCTTGTTGAATCTCCTCTGAGGCAGGGAAGATTCCCAGGGTTTTATGGGAACTCTGTCGTTTCGGTGTGGCTGGGTTACTCCCCATTTTGCAGATGAGGAAACTGAGTTTGAGCTCTAAGGTGCGCTACTGAAAAAGCAAATCACAGAATGACACGCCCAGGCTGAGACGGTTCAACAAGAGTTCCATGAGAAACATATTCTGCGTTTTCCATTCATGGAAGATGAAAAATGTCTGGAAAGAAATTGGTCACAGTGGGGATGCTGGAGAGGAGCTTAGAGCAGTGGAAAGAGCCTTATCTGTATGCTTTTATTTTTGTAAATATTCATATGTTGCTTGTGAAATATAAAATTAGTAATTACAAAAGTGTGTATGGTGGTGGGTGGGGGGAGGTCCCTGCAAGCTTGACATCACTCAGAAGTGTCCCTTGGCCTCAGCAGGCTGCAGGAGGATGGGGGCCTGGCCACTTTGAGCCTCCCAGCACGTCTGGGGCCTGAGATGCAAAGCCGGGGTCCATCCTGTGTGGGCTCTGGCAGAGAGGGAGTAGGAAATGCTGACAGTTTTCTTCAGGTGTGACATCCCAAACCAGGTACACTCGCCCCCTGACCCCAGCTTCCAGGCAGAGATGGCCATCTAGATCCTCATGTAAGCCCCCTGCACCTCTGCCCAGCATCCTGGTGGAGTTTTTCTTCTGCCTGAGGCCCAGAGAGAAGAAGGCATGTTCTGAGGATCCCAGAGTGACTTAGAGCTGGAGAAGCCTGCAGTCCCATCCCCGGGCCACCACCCATTGTTCTTGTAGACATGGGGGAGAGAGTGCAAGGAAGGTTGGGATGCTGGGAGGCTGAGGGTGGCAGCACTCCTGGGTTCTCTCCCTGGGGGCATGAGCCACTTTCTTATGTCTGTTGCCTCAGTTTCCTTTTGTTAGAGCTAGGGTCCTGGTTCTGTTGCCCAGACTAGAATGCAGTAGTGCAATCACAGCTCACTGCAGCCTCTACCTCCTGGGCTCAAGTGATCCTCCTGTCTTAGTCTTCCCAGTAGCTGGAACTCTACAGCCTTGTCCACCCCACCTGGCTACGTTTTTTTTTTTTTTGTACAGACAGGGGTCTCAAAAGTTGCCCAGGCTGCTGATCTCAAACTCCTAGGTTCAACTGATCCTCCCACCTCCCTCTCCCAAAGTGCTGGAATTTTAGGCATGAGCCACTGCACCTGGCCCTCAGTTTCTTCTTCTGCCAAACTGTGTAGAGGTTTAGATCACCCTGTGTTGTAGAGTTCAGATCACCGTATGTTATAACAGAGGTTTAGATCACCGTGCGTGTAGAGTTTAGATCACCGTGCTTGTGGAGGTTGAGGTCACCGCCGTGCGTGTGGAGGTTCAGGTCACCGTGCGTGTAGGGTTCAGATCACCGTGCGTGTCAGGTTCAGATCGCCGTGCGTGCGGAGGTTTAGATCGCCGTGCATGTGGAGGTTTAGATCACCGTGCGTGTAGAATTTAGATCACTGTGTGTAATGGTTTAGATCACCATCTGTGTAGAGGTTTAGATATGTGGGGTGGCACATAGCGACCGTTCTCTGTCAGTAAGTCTTTTGAAAACCTCTGGAAAGAGGCTGGTGGTGACCTCAGGGTTCTCCCAGCAGAGGCCTAAGGTCAGACCTCAGGAAGAACTTCCCAGCAGAGTGAAGTATTTCTGTCTCCACTAAGACTCTGGGGAAGCAACAGCTGATGGGCTCCCTGTGCTCTGCAGGGCACCGGCAGAAACTGGAGGACCAGACCAAGGCATTTCCTGACCGCTTTGGGGACCTGGAACGGCTGCGCATGCGGGTGACACCGAGCACACCCAGCCCCCGAGGCTCACTCAGCACCACAAGCCACTTCAGCAGCCAGCCCCAGACCCCCATCCAAGGTATGGCACTGAGGGAGGGTCTGCAGCAGGGTAAGGTGGGGGTGGAGGGCCTGGATGTGGTCCAGTCTGCCCCAGACCAAAAGCCCGTTGGAAGATCAGTCACTGCACCTGCTTGTTTTATAGAGGAGCAGCTGGTGCTCATTTGCACCTGCAGATGGTTCCTGAGAGCTTGCTGTGTGCTCGCCGTCCTTCATTCACTCAGCAAACACTGACATATGCCCGGGGTCGGGCCCCAGGGATCCACATGGGCAGACAGCACCCTGTATACCAATTCACTGTGCCTGGGGAAATGGGTTCATTCCATAGTGCCCCTATTAGAATTGAGCCATGACTTGTCTAAGGAGCCATGACAGACTCGTCCCTGCCACGTAGTTTCCCCACCCCTGCTCCAGCCTCCGATTTTTCATCTGAAGGTCGATTGGTGGCGGGTGCCTCTGCCCAGGGCTGGGATGACATTCAAATAGCATCACTGCACTCACACAAACTGTGTGCACTGTTAAGTGCCGTTCCAGCCCTACAGAGGCACACAGCATTTCTGGGAAAGGTCTCCCACCCTGCCCAGAGCCTCCTCCCAAACAGGAGGAACTGAGGTGGAGGGGAAGGCCGAGCAGGGTCTCTGTCTCCACTGCCTAGATGGATACAGCAACCATGGTCGAAGCCAGGCCTCAGGCAGGTTCTGGAGTATCAAGGTGCCTGGCGTATAGTAGAGGCTCGCTAAACGACTGCGGGCTGCATCTCTCCTCTGTTCTCTCAGTCAGAGAGCTGGCGACGTGGGAGGCTGTGTGCATGGCCCACCTTTGGGCCAGGTGGGGTGCCAAGGGTGCTTGGTGGCCGGGTGGACAGAGGCAGGCAGGCTGGCTACTGTCATGGGCTGTGCCTGTTCTTTCTCATTTCCCAGAGCCTGGTTAGAACTCCTTGGCAGATGAATGAATTGAGGCCTAAGAGGTTCAGAGCCACCCTTGGGTCACACAGCCCATCTGTGACCAGGTCCAGAGTCTCCATAGTATGTGTTCCCAAGGACTTTCTGTACTTCTTAGGGGACAGATAAGGGGCCTGGAACAGGGCTGCCACGCTGAGGTGGAGTCCAACTGGGTCCCTCTATTGACGTTGTTCTGGGTGTAGTGCAGTGGCCAGGAGCTTGATCAGGCCCTGAGTGTGAAGAGAGAACTCCTCCCCTTCTGGCCTGGGTTTAGGACCTCCAGCTGTGGTCCTGCTGAGACACCAAGGTCAGAAGAAGCCCCAGGCCCAGCCTCTCTGAGCCCAGGAGCTAGTGCATTTGAGACTCTCAGCTCTTGAGTCCAGGAGTTGGAGGTCTGAGCTTAAGAGGTGGCGGAAGGAGCCCTGAATGCTGTGCTATACCCACCCTGCCCTATAGCTGCTCCTGCTCCTGCCGCCCACAGGCCAGCATCTGTCGAGGTGTGGTAGCCTGGGAGCCAGCCTTTCCCTGCCATGAACAGAGCCAGGCCAGGGGATCAGGGCCGGGCCAGGGAGCCAGAATCCAGGAGGTGGGGTAAACAGTGGCTTCCTGTCCCCCAGCCCCCATGAAAAGAGAGCCCCTGTCTGCCCATCCACCGATGTGTGGGCACGGCTTGGGGATCAGTGCCTGCAGGAGGCTGGGGCAGGTGTGGTCACCTCCATCCAGCCCCAAAGGGCCAGGCCTAGCCCCACAGCAGGCACAGCTGCTGCTTACACGCTGGGCTGGAAGGAAAGGGGCTCTGGCCCGTGTGCGGCAGTGGCTGACCTCTGCTGCTCTGGCTGCTTCCTCCTGAGGTCTCGCCCAGTCCCTCACTAGCCACCCACAGCACTGGGCCACAGTCAGCCAGGCCTCTCCATCCCCAGGCCCAAACTCTTTGGGTGAGAGAAGGGGCCTCAGACAACCAGGACAGGGCAGAAGCATGAAGTCTGTCAGGTGGACCAGGCTGGGACTCAGGCTCTGCCAGGCATTGGCTGTGTGATCTTAGACCAGTCACTTAAACTCAGCCTCAGTTTTCTCATCTGTGAAGTAGAGAGAAGGAGGTCCCTGACAAGAGAGGGTGTTGGCAGGCCCAGGCTTGGGAAGTCACTCTCACAGGGACGCCCCTGCCCTCAGGCTTTCTCCTGGGGATCCCCCTCGGAACACCCCACCACCGCTTCTTTCAGTGCCTGTTAACTGCCTTGACCCCCCAACCTTGGTCACTGGCAAGCAGTGCAGAGACCCCAGCCCCTCCCATACCCCAGCCCTAGCCCCCAGCTGCAGCCGCCCACAATGGGGGCTTCTCACAGCTGAAAGGGCTCATTCAGCCACCACGCAGCAGCCGGGGCAATCTGGAGAAGAAAATAAACATTTCCTTCCACTGTTGGGATTGGCTGCTCGACAGTGGCCCGGGCAGCTCAGGTTTCCTGGGGCTGCAAGGCTGCCGGGTGGGGGTACAGGAGCTCTGAGGAAGCTGCTGGGGGGCCTGAGGGAGTGCTGAGGGCAGGTACTTCCCCCACCACCCTAGAGGAAGGGTGATGGCCTTGAGGAGAGAGGCTGGAGGGGACAGTGGCAGGTCCAGGGAGGCCCAGCCCAGCGCCCAGCAGCCCAGTGAGCTCTGAGGGGCACAGTCCTGCTATTGCATCCTGGGGTCCCTGTGTGTTTCCTTCATCTTGAGAATGGGGTTTCCACAGGCAGCCAGCACCCACTTCCACCCCACCCGGCATCTGCCACAGGACCTCTTCCCCCGAGGGGCTCCCCAGATGAAAACCAGCAGCCAGGCACCTCAGAGGCTCTCAGCCTCAAGGGGCGAGACAGCCAAGTGACCTAGGGAAAGTCCTGGATGTCCCAGAAGGCCCCGCCACCCAGACTGCTGTCCCCACATCTTACCTCAAGCCAGGACCGTCACTCGGCTCTGATCCATGCCCAGGGCCAGAGTCTGCTGCTGAGGGAAGCATACCCCAGCCGACTTGGGAGGACCCCAAAGCCCCGAGAAGTTCCAAGTCCTGGCTGAAGCCACACAGCAGCTCAGGCACTCAGAGCTCTCCATCCTCAGCCAAGCCTCAGCATGGCAGGCAGAGCCCATCCCGGCCAGAGCCAGCCCTTACCCTTTGGAGGGTGAGACAGAGGGGATGCTAGGCCGGACAGACTGCACCTCTGGACCACTTCTGGGGGCTCTTCCGCCTCCCCCTGCTGCCAGAGTACAATGGAGGCCCTGCATCAGGGCCTCATCTCGACAGGGCCCTGAAGGAGCCAGTTCTCCTGGGTACCCAGAGTTAAGAGGCACCACAGCCACAGTGGCCTTGCAAAGCCTCACAGACCCCTACTCTGTGCCTGGTGCCATTCTAAGTACTTGATGTGTATTAACTGAATCCTGATGAACTGTTATCATCTCCATGTGTTATATGGAGAAACTGATGCACAGAGAGGTTAAGTGACTTGCCCAAGGACACACAGCTAGTAAGTGTCCAAACCAGGATAACTGGCTCCAGAAGCCACACAGTAAGCCTTGATCCTGTGCTGCCTCAAAGATGGGACAGCTCCCTCTCAGGCATGTTTTGGGGCTCAGGACCTAGGATTGTATGCCAGGTCCAGTGTGCTGTGTGACCCTTAAGCAAGTGCCTCACCCTGTCTGGGCCTCAGTTTCCCCACCAAGGGTGTTAGACTCAGTCCCCGAGCCCTTTGAATGCTGAGGTTTTGGAGGTCTGTGATGACAATCAGGGGCAGGCACTGGAACACCCTTGCCTTGGAGCCCATTGAGAAGCCACACTCCTAGCGGAGCAGGGGCAGGGTCTGGGCTGGACACTGTGACCAGGTCAGGGTCTCGGTACCCAAGTTTGTCTGCTGTCTCACTTTGCTGCCAAGGCAGGTGGCATCTGGTCACTGTGTGGCCGAGTCAGCTCCAGAGACACAGGTCCAGGGTGAGGGTGGAGGGTGGAGGGTGGAGGGTGGAGGGTGGAGGGTGGAGGGCAGAGCTGCTGTGAACTCAGGGCCCACAACCCAGATGTGAGCGCTCAGAGTGCTGCACCTGGGCAGGAGAGGCAGGTGTGCAGCTGTGCACACACACATGCACTTACATGCACTCACACGCATACACACATATACACACGCACACACTCGGGCACACACACATGCACTCACACACACACTCAGGCGCACACACACATGTACTTACATGCACTCACATGCACACACACTCGCATATACGCATGCACGCACACACTCGGGCACACACACATGCACTCGCGCGCACACACACACACAGGCACACACATGTACTTACACACGCGCGCACACACACATACACATGCACTCACACACACATGCATGTGTCCCAACAGAGAGGCCGTGTGGTGAGTGGCAGTCCTTTCTCTGCCACAGAGAGACTCAGTCTTGCTCTCTCTGCCTCCATTTTCTTTTATTCGAAAGTGGGTTCCAGCTCCCAGCCTCACATCAGAGCCCTTTTCACATCCATGGCTTTGTCAGCTGTTACCACAGGCCACCTGGGCTGGGGCCAGGCTGCTGGGAGACCTGAGCTGACCCCGCCCTCAGCACCACCCCATCCCCACATCCTAGGCCTCTCCTCTGCCAGGCTGGGAAGGAGGATTTTTTTTTTTTTTTGGAGGTGGAATCTTGCTTTGTTGCCCCAGCTGGAGTGCAGTGGTGCGATCTCAGCTCACTGCAACTTCTGCCTCCCGGGTTCAAGCGATTCTCCTGCCTCAGTCTCCCAAGAGGCTGGAATTACAGGCACCCATCACAACGCCTGGCTACTTTTTTTTCTTTTTAGTAGAGATGGGGTTTAACTACATTGGCCAGGCTGGTCTCAAACTCCCAACCTGGTGATCACCCGCCTGGGCCTCTCAAAACACTGGGATTACAGGCATGAGCCACCACGTCCAGCCCGGGAAGGAGGATTGAAAGAGAAGAAAAGGTCCTCCCCCTCTTCTCCTGCTGCCGGCTGGGAGGCTCCCATGGCCCCTCTTGGTTCAGGGCAGTTCCCACCTGCTCCCCAGTGGATCTGTGTTCCAAGTTCTGGCAGGGGAGGCCCTGGGCAGCCTAGGGAAGGAGTGAAGTCTAGAACCAGGAATCCCCTAGATGGATCTTGAGTCCCCTAGATGGGCCACAGCCCAAGGTCATTCTTCAGGAAGAGCCTGGGGACGTCTCGGGCTACCACTGACCTCTTCCTTGCTGTCCTCCAGGCACCTCGGAACTGAACCCATTCTCCGACCCCCGCCAGTTTGACCGCTCCTTCCCGACGCTGCCAGCCCTCACGGAGAGCCGCTTCCCGGACCCCAGGATGCATTACCCTGGGGCCATGCCGGCTGCCTTTCCCTACAGCGCCACGCCCTCAGGCACAAGCATCAGCAGCCTCAGTGTGGCAGGCATGCCGGCCACCAGCCGCTTCCACCACACCTACCTCCCACCACCCTACCCGGGGGCCCCGCAAAACCAGAGCGGGCCCTTCCAGGCCAACCCATCCCCCTACCACCTCTACTACGGCACGTCCTCTGGCTCCTACCAGTTCTCCATGGTGGCTGGCAGCAGCAGCGGGGGTGACCGCTCGCCCACTCGCATGCTGGCCTCCTGCACCAGCAGCGCTGCCTCTGTTGCCACCAGCAACCTGATGAACCCCAGCCTGGGCGGCCAGAGTGACAGCGTGGAGGCCGACGGCAGCCACAGCAACTCGCCCACGGCCCTGAGCACACCGGGCCGCATGGATGAGGCCGTGTGGCGGCCCTACTGACCGCCCCAGTGGACTCCTCCCAAGGGAGGTGGGGACCCTAACAACCTTCCGGCCAGCTCTGAGGCTCCGGGCAGGAATGGGACTTGTGCTTTAGCGTGGTCTCAGTCCCAGGGCGGTTCCAGCTGATGGGTGTCTCTGACTGCATCTGTCCAGCACATCCTTGTACAGAGGTGTGGGGAACAGCCCCACCTGGGACACGGCCCCCAGCCCAGATCCCGGCGGTCTCATCAGCCATCTGCCACCTCCCCAGAAGGACCTCACTGTCTCCAGCTATGCCCAGTGTTGCATGGGGCCCATGTCTCCTGGGACAGAGGCTGTCTCTCTTCCAAAGAGAGGTGGCATTGGCCCACAGCATAAGCCTCAGGCCACAGGAAACCTCCCCACCCCTGCATCCCCTGGGTCCAGCTCCCTCTGCATTTACACAGATGGAGTCAGAACTGGAAAGTGACCCCCACCCCTGCCACCTTTGAGAGGGGTTCCCCTCATTGTACAGATGGGGCAGGACCCTGCACATTGCTGGCAGAGATGGGATGAGAACACATCCAAGCCAGTCCCCCCAGCCCGGCTTCCCCTCCGTCCCTAACAGTTGGCTTTTCCCCAGCTGCATGGTCCCAGGCACCAGAGGAGATGAGGCTATGGCATCAGCTCCCTAAACCCAGGAAGGCTCCTGCAGACTGGCTCCTCCATGCACTTTACCAGCCCAAGGCATCCACCCTCTGTTCTCTTGGTTGGGGGTGGGGGGGTCCCCTTTCCCCTAGGCAGTCTCATAATTTCCATTTGTGGAGAGAATAGGGGGGCCCGATAGGTCCTAGCAGAAGGCGTTGAGGTGAGGGATCATTTGGGGTCAGACATCAGTGTCCCTGTCCCACCCAGGTCCAGCCAAGCTGTGCCCCGTCCCTCAAGCCTCCCTGGAGGACCTGGCCAAATCTTGCAACTCCTGACACATACCTGTCTGTCGTTAGCCTGTTTTGTGCTCTGAAAGTGAATGGTCCTGAACAACAACAAAAAACAGTTTTTAAAACTGATTTTAGAAAAAGAAGCTTAATCTAACATTTTCAAACACAAGGTCTCTTAGAAGCATAGCTCCGTGTTGATGAGCAGCATCCCTAGCCTCTCCCCCCTCACCAACCCCAGCTGCCTCCTAAGGGTGTGGGGTGATTAGGGTCTCAGTACTTCCTCAAGGGGCTACAGTCCCCGCCAGGCAGCATCCCAGTAGCCTGCACCACAGGCGCCGCTGGGAGGACAAGGGAAACGCTGGTGAGATGCTGTCCTCTGTGGCTCTGGGACATCTGTCCAGGAGGCTGTGCGGGTATTCTGATTGGGGTGGGTGGGATGGGAGAGGAGGGGAGCACTGGCTTTGCGTGGCAGAAGAGAAGCACTGTAAGGGCATGCCAGCCGCATCTCAGCCCCACTGCATTCCGAGGTGAAGTCTTGCCCCTGAGTTTTGCAAAATGGAAATGTGGGCCCTTACCCAAGGGCCAGGCGTGGATTCTCATCTCAGAGTTCTCTGGCCCTAGAAAGGCTTAAAAAACATGTTAAAGGACAGGAAACTCATAAAGGCTAGCAGCACGTGGTTTCTGTAACTTTCTGCCTCATCCTCTGTGAATGCAGAAATCTGCCCTACAAAAGGGTCCTCAGTGTTGCCTCTGTGAGAGCACTGCCCCCACCCAAACTGTCGCAACAGCCAGAACCATACACCAGAGACACACTGGCAGGCTAGGCAGTCCTTTTGGTGATCCTATTCCAGTCGCTCCTACTGCAGTTTCTCTTGGCCTGTCCCCACTGGAAAAACAGTCTCCATCTCTTCAAAACAGCTGCTGACTCCCTGCACCGAAGGTGCCTCTCCACCCCTACTTAGGAAGCAGCTACAAGTCAATTGTCCTTGTACTTTCTTCCCTCCTGATCTTTGGTTGTAGCTGGGTTCTGGGTCAGTGTAGGAGACACTTTTGGTTCCCAGTGCCCAGCACTTTGTAGTCTCATCCCAGATTACTGCCCCTTCCTGATCCTCAAGCCTTGGAGAAGCAGGGATGGGAAATAAATTGCTCTTCCTACCCCATCCCCCATCCCCTGATAAAAAGTGATGGCAGCCATACTGAGTCTGTTTGTAAGGTCCAAAGTGGGTACAGACAGCCCGGGCTGGTAAAAGTAGGTCCTTATTTACAAGGCTGCTTTAAAGTTGTACTTCGCAAACACTGATACAGGAAGCAGGAAGAAAGGAAGATGTTTTGATACAATGTAACTGTGAGCCTGTCAGTAGTGGGTACCAATCTTTTTATGACATATTGTCATGCTGACGTGTGACACTTGCTGCACTCATATCCGATGCAAAACCATCCCAGAGCTGGCGAGAGGATGGAGCAGGGTGGAAACTGCTTTGCACTATCATTTGCTTGGTGTTTGTTTTTGATGCACAACTTGCTTGTATAGTAAACTGTCTTCTGTACTATTTAACTGTAAAATGGAATTTGGACTGATTTGTTACAATAATATAAGTCCGAGATGTGTTGAAGGAGCCCAGTGCTGGGCTTCTAGGGCTATGCATGGAGGCGGGGCGGGGATGGGAGAGGATGGAGACCTCCTGCCATTCCCAGGAGGAACTGGGCAGGACCTGGGGCAGGAACAGCGACATCCAGCGCCTTCATCTCCTTGCTTCCAGCTTCTTCAGGAATGGCCACAGAGACCACCCTAGCCGCAGGACAGCCCACCAGTGAGACCTCCTCCTGTAAGGCCAGAACCCCAGGAGAGCATCAAATAGGTCTTCAAAGTGCTGCCAAACCTTCCGCCAATCATGAGCGGGCGGTGATTCTTCCCAGTCATGTTGGGAAGAATTCCTACCTGTTCCCCAGACTCAGATTTCTGGGGGCAAAGCAGGGGCAGAGAAAGAATCCAGCTGCCTGGGTGAGAGCTCTCCTCTGAGCCTCATGTTTCAGGAACTGTGGCAAGCTAGCAACAGTGGGGATTGGGAGAGAGCAGCCACTTTAGTGCTCCCATTTTGCAGATGAGACAGCTGAGATGCAAAGAAGTAGTGTCATCAGGGTCCATGTCTCCCTGGGGCTGTCCATGGCTGAACTGGGACCACACTCCAATATTGGTAGCATGGGTGTGATGGTGTGGGGACCTGGCTTGAAAGCCCCCTGCCCCGCCCCCACCATTTCTGTTTATATTTATTTGGGGTCACTTTGTAGGGAATGATAGCCCCTCCTCATCAGACATACTTTGGTGCTACAGCAGATGGGAGAGGAGCGGACCTCCAGAGTCCCTGACTCAAATCTCTATCACCTGCACCCCAGCAGACACGAAGCAGCACACCCAGAAACTCAAAGTCCAGAGGAATCTCCAACCTGCCTGAGGTCCCAGGGCGGCGGGAGGAAGCACTGCAGTAGCCACAGTGGCCTGCAGGTGGCGGCAAGGGGTGAGCATTGCTGGGCAGGAGATGGAGAGAGTGGACATCACCCACTTCAGACAAGGGTGAAGACAGGCTGCCTCTGTTACAGCAAGAATTCAGGTTACGTATTAAGAAGAACTTCCCAACCTGAGGCGACTCATTTCCAAAAGGGTCTGGAAAAGGTCTTGATGGGGGAAGGTTTTTCCTTCCAGAGCTGCGTGGCAGTGAGAGGTCCCTTTCCCTCTCTGAGCCTCTCTTTTAGGTCGTGCGCTAAATGAGCACCGGCTGTGTGCTGGGTGTGGAGTAGGATGCCACATCCCATGATCCTCTGCTTTGGGACAGGGGCGTACCTGGCTTGAAGGAAGGGTTGACTTTCATAGTCCTGCAACCCTGTCCTCCTGGACCCTGGGCCCAGCCTCACCCGTGTCCCTTGAGCCACCAGCAGGAGCTTAGGACATGCAGCAGCCAGTCCAGGCTGAGAACGCCATTTGTTTCTGCAGTCTGAGAGCCCCTGGACTCCAGAATTCCACGTTGGAGACTCTAGGGGTCCCGTCGAATCAGGCTGGACTTTGAGTCCCTCAAGTTTCTCCAGCCCCCTCAGCTTGAGGCTGGCGCAGTGGTGAACCCAAAGAGCTGGATGTGACCTGGGGGCTCCCAGACGTGGCCTCCTGAAGGGGGTGAAGTGGCCCCAGACAGACCCATCTTGCTGGCCCCCGGGAGCAGGCCACTGCTGGGCCATGGCCATGGGGATGGCTTTGGCTTTTATGCTGAGAAAAGGGTGTCCTAGCAGGGGCTGCCGGCTGGAGACAGTGCATACCCATGTGGTGGAGTGGTGAGGGCTGGAGGAGGTGGTGTGGGGTGGAGCCAGTAACGTGACTGGGAGGGCAGGGCTGGATGGAGACCCAGCCCTGCCTCCCTCCTCAGCCCCAATTCCTCCCAGATGGTACTCCCATAAACCTGCCCCCCTCCCAGGGTGGCCCAGGGGGCAGCTCTCAGTCACACCAAACACCCCAGCTTGGCCACGTGAGTAGAGAATACACCTCAGTGGGTCGGTTCATTTTGGGGTCGTAAATGAAATGAGCTGTCAAATGGGACAGGGGCAGGAGGGAGGCCAGAGTGAAGAATGAACTGTTCCTGGCGGAAATCCAGAATGCCCCTCATTCCTCCCCATGAGGGCTCTGGAGCTGGGAGGGGTGAGGGGCCGCATCGCCCCGACATCCGCAGCCACACCTGTGTGGTCCAGCCGCTGGGGGAGCCTAGGGAGCCGGATCCCACGCTTCCTAGTTTTAGTTTTGCAGCTAAGAGTGCGCTGTTTGTTTTTTATATTTATATTCACCCACAGAAAGGGCCTGCTCTGGCCTGGAGGACCTATCATAGGAAGGGGGGTGCAGCAGCCCTGGAGCCGGCCTGGACCACCCTCCTTTGTGCCCACCCTGACGGCTGGAAGCAATGTGGGCTCTCTGGTATCCAAGAACACCATTTGGGCCTCACCGTCCCACTCAGCTCTTTGGGCTGGGTACCTTGGAGGCCTTGGCCAGAATTCATTCACTCATTCACCAAACACAAAGCCCCACCCCACTCTCAGGTGCCAGACACCAAGAACAAGGTGAACAAGTCACACCATGCCCTTGGGGATCTCACAGGGCAGACAGACAGGAAAACAGGTTGTGCCAACCCAGTGTGGATCAGGGCAAACGAGGACAGCTTCCCGGAAAAGGCCCTCTCCCGAGAGCAGATGGAAAGAGGAGTAGGAATGGACCCAGCAGAGAAGCGTCAGGAGGGGATCCCACATGCAAAGGCCGGATGGACTGTGAGCAGGGAGGATGGTGGAAAAGCGGAGCAGTGGTTGGGGAGAAGCCGTGCAGGGGTCAGTAGCACGGGAGAGCCAAGTGGAGACATGTGTTGGAGGGGAGCACCATGATGGTGCAGACTGGGGATTAGGGTGCAGAGCCGTGCTCACAGGCGACTAAAATAGTCCGGGCAAAGGAGGGTGAAGCCCGGGCAGAATGACAGGGAGGAGCTAAGAGGCATCTTAGACATCACTGGTGCCGAAGTCACAGGAAGGCCACCATGCCCCAAACCCCACGTTTAAATGTCTCTCCATCCCTCGGGGTTAGTGGCATTTAGTGTGCCACTGGGGACACGGTCTTAATAGCCTTTGTTATCACCCAGTTGGCCCTTGCCCTGTCCCTCCTGACCACTTCACTGTGTCCAGTGAAGCCTTATGTCCTGCCTCAGTTTCCTTAAAGGACCATTTGACCACACCGGAGGTCACATGCAGCCTCTCAGACTTGTGAGTCCGGGGCGCTTGGAGTCCGGCTGAGCTACCCCACTCTCCTTCATGATCTAAAAATGTAAAGATTATGAGACTCTGCATTCGTGGTTCCTGTGTTCTATGTACTACATTTTAAATAATATTTCTAGTTTTTATTTTTAAACAGGGTCTCCCAGACTAGAGTGCAGTGTAGCCTCCAACTCCTGGGCTCAAGTGATCCTCCTGCCTCAGCCTCTCAAGGAGCTAGAACTACAGGTGTGCACCACCACAACTGGCTAATTTTCTTTTTTAGAGGCAGGGTCTCGTCATGTTGCCCAGGCTGGTCTGGAACTTCTGGTCTCAAGCAAATCTTCCACATTGACCTCCCAAAGTGTTGGGATTACAGGGATGAACCACTGCGCCCAGACTAAATGATATTTTAAAGTGACAGAAACTAATACATAATCATGAGAGGGAAAGTAGACAGTCCAGATTACCAAAAAGCACACAAGAAAAATGGCCCATAATCCTCTGCTTACAAAGATAACTACTGTTAATATTTTTTTAGGCTTTTCTCCCCATCCAGATCTTTTATTTTCTATAAATATATAAATACATTTTAGAAAGAAACATTTGTCTTTTCTTTTTCTTTTTTTTTTTTTTTTTTTGAGATGGAATCTCGCTCTGTCACCCAGGGTGAAGTGAGTGCAGTGGTGTGATAATGGCTCACTGCAACCTCTGCCTCCTGTGTCCAAGCAATTCTCCTGCCTCAGTCTCCCGAGTAGCTGGGACTACAGGCGCAGGCCACCATGCCCGGCTATTTTTTTGTATTTTTAGTAGAGACTGGGTTTCACTGTTTAGCCAGGATGGTCTTGATCTCCTGACCTCATGATCCGCCCACCTTAGCCTCCCAAAGTGCTGGGATTACAGGCGTGAGCCACCTTGTTCGGCCAGAAATAGACATTTTTCTAGCCAGACTCACATTGTATATACGGATTATCAATTAATGTAGTTAAAAATAGAGATAAAAGTAATCTAGAATGAAATCAATGGAAAGATGGGATTATGGCTGTTTTCTGTTTTCTTCTGTATAGTTTTCTAAAATGAGCACCCTTGTTCAGGGTATAGCATATTAAACTTCTAGACTGATAAATATCCAAGCAGAGGAGTTCAAGATTGTGCAAGGACTACCTCATCTGTCATTAGCTGAAACAGCACCTCTTCCAGGCAGTCTTCTTTGATATCCTCATATTGGGTTTGATGCCTTCTCTTTATCTCTGGAATAATAATAATAGTTAATACTTACTCTATGCCAGGCACTATTCTAAATATTTTGCCATTTTTTAACCCTTCTCATTAAAGTATGCATTGTCATTATCCCCATCTTACAGATGAAAAAAACTGAGGTTGGGTGTGGTAGCTCATGCCTGGAATCCCAGCACTTTGGGAGGCTGAGGCAGGAGGATCATCTGAGGTCGGGAGTCTGAGACCAGCCTGGCTAACATAGTGAAACCCCATCTCTACTAAAAATGCAAAAACTAGCCAGCATGGCGGCACATGCCTGTAATCCCAGCTACTCAAGAGGCTGAGGCAGGAGAACCACTTGAATCCAGGAGGCAGAGTTTGCGGTGAGCTGAAATCATGTCACAGCACTCCAGCGTGGGCCACAGAGTGAGATTCTGTCTGAAAACAAACAACAACAACAGAAAACCCTGAGAAACAAGGACAGAATTCCACCCCAGTCTTGACGAAGGCAGAGCAGTCGCTGAAAAGGTTGACTTTAAGTTTCCTACCAACTAAAAGTACTAGAGGCTTAAAGTAATAATCAAGTTGACTTTAAGGGGAAAAAAAAGTGACATTTCTACA